AAACAATTTCTTGCAAAACAGATCAGGCCAAATTTTTTCCTTCCGAGATGTTTACTTTACAAAATCTTGCCAAAAAATCTGGCGGTGTGTAAACCAACCTTTTATACTTTTTATACACCACATCTGAGGTGAAAGAGTACTATTTATCATACAGACCTCGGACAGACTGCGGTATTTCACAATTTTTTAAGACGAATTACACTTAGTCAATATTCGGCACGATCAATCGTGGGCTTTTAGCGAAACCGTTTAAACACTTCCAAAATCACCTATACGGCCAGCCGGTTCCCACTTTGACGAGCGCCAAATTTGCAGTGAAAATTAATAGAGTTACGCTTCAACATAATAAAGAATTGGTTATTTTTATTTTTTTTATTTAATGGTTTTATAGCGATGTGGAATCTTAAAAAGCGTTTGATACGAGCGGTATTTTGAGTACTTCTGCAAGCGGTGTTCATGAACGACAGAAAACAAACGACACCGTGAGCGATTAAAATTGCAAGAGAGACTTCTGACAGTCCGTGAAAGAAATATAATTCGGTGAAACATATACAGAGAAAACAATTTTCATTCACGAAGACAAGTATTAAAGTATTTTTAAAAATCCTGAGTCTTAAAGCCGACCTCCTGGTGTTTGCTTTTCTTCACAGATGCCTCTAGGCAAGAAAATCGCTCAAAGTTTTCTTTCTACAGCCAAATTTATAACTAAATATTCTTTGGAACCTTTTCTATTTGCGGTGAGAAAATATATCTAAAGGCTTTTTAAAGTTCTGTAAGCTTATATCAAACCTGATACTAGGTCATATCATTGTCTCAAATCTTACAAACGTGCATAAACTAGCCGCATAAACGGTCATGTTTATGTGCGAAGTTTTTGGAAGGATAAACAAATGGGTTTTGAATAAAAATATTCAAGAAACAATACCGTATAAAATTCCGAAAATAAGCCCCGGGGCTTATATTTTTCAAAGGCCCTTTTTGGGGGGCTTATTTTTGGAGGGGCTTATATTCGGAGGGGCTTATCTAAGGAGGGAAATTTGCGTTTCATAATCGATAGGGCTAGCCTTACAGTTGGAAGTAAATTTATTGTTTTTCCTTTGTTTTACTTTGTATTTGAGGGCAATTTTCCAAGTACAAGCCCCCAGGGGGCTTATATTTGGAGGGGCGATTTAACGGAGGGTTTTTGCGTTACCGGTTTAGGGGGCTTATATTTGGAGGGGCTTATTTTCGGAATTTTACGGTATCTATGCTTATTTTTCTGTGTTTGCTATAACATTAATTCAAAATACGATCATGAGGCTACAGAATCCATGTTGCATTTAAATGATCGATGCTTTTACAGCTGTTGGTGGATAACACTCGACTTGCGCTGCCAAAAACGTCTTTGGATTTTGTGTTTTTCTACGACGTCAATCAAAATCTGAAGAAGCGGCGCTTTCTTCGCTTTCTCGCATTTTCTGCATCTTAGCGAACCTCTTTGGAAACAAAAGGTCGTCGTTCGTGATTTGTGATTGGTGGATTTCGATCCGTTTTGTTTAGATGCTTTGTTTTTGAAAAGCACCGTAAGTTTTACCTCAGCTCTAACATTTTTTTATCTTCTTTACACTGAAACATGGCAAGTTTATTTAGATTCTAAAGGTGAAATTGTTCCTTTACAGCTTCCAAATCCAGAGAAAACACGGCTACGGAAGGGTGAAAACGAACAGGTACGTTCCCGCCAACATTTACATTTGCTGACAAACACAGTGGATGCTACGGTAACGGTTTGATTGACGTCGCAGAAAATTTGAATTTGGAGCATGCTCAATATGAATTGTCGAGGATGTCGGCAGAGGTTCCTTCCTCTTCCCAACTTATTTAGGAAGATCGAAGGAGACTCTGTTCGCAGGGGATATGTTTGCGGTTCCGTTTATCGTTTTCTCACGGTACGCGTTTCTTTAGTTCTGCTTTGTGGTTAGCCGTGTTTTATCTAGCTCTGTGATTTCTCCGCCGTTACACCCTTAAACAGGAAAGAAATTAACTGATTTTAGCTCGCTTTAATTTGCCGCCATTGCTGTAGTTAACCGCGAAAGTCTCCATTTGTTTCCCCCTATTGTATTAACAGAACACGTATGTACTCTGCTGTAAAGCGATAATAGTGTTTTACAATAAGGCGTATTGCCAAAAGGAAGATTTTACTGTTTTGTGGCTTACCTAGCTATAGTTGTCCAATTGTGTTGCTAATAACAGGATGCGAGCTGTTTGTGTTCAGCGCGACATAAATACGCCTGCACGTAGCGTTTCTACGCATTAGTACAGTTCCAGTTGCCGCGTTCACCAGTGAAGCCGTAGGACATAGTTGTGTAGAGTTCTCCCCTCGCTGGAGTGGCGCTATTGCCCTTTTCATCACCCCTTTTCTTTTCCTTTTTGTTGCTTTATTCGTTTTTTTAGTGTTATTGTATTTCTTTTCCACTAATTGGCCATTAAAATTCTTGTTTGTTTTGTGCGCATTTTGTCTTTCATTGGTTGTCATTTGCTACCTCCCCTACTCGCGTGGCTCGGTCACATTTGTTTGAATTTTGATGACGTCATGCGAAAAGCCCCAATATAATAACTTGCGTATTGTCACACAATCGCCGTTCAAAGGTCATCTTCAAAATAATTTCTGGAATTTTTCTTTTTGAAATGGGCCAAAAAAAATGGCTAAAATGTGAAAAAAAGACCAAGAACAAGAACATGTTTCCTGATTTTCCGTGGAAGATGACCTTAGAACGGCGATTGCGTGACAGTATACCTTATTACATGAAATTTTCGCGACATGTCTATTTCGCGATTTTGATGTGCGAATATTTCGCGACACTTAAATTTCGCGATTTTTCGAAAATTTTATATTTTTAATCACTTTAAATTCGCGTTTTTGAGTACAACAATTTACATTTCATAGGCAATGTTATTTCACATATCTTGTCATGTCAAGAAAAACCAAGCAGTTCTCCCAATGTCCACAAGCAGTTCATGCTTCTACGTTAATTATCAATTGACCACAACATCCATTTACACTGAAAATTAATCATAAAAGTAAAAACTGTGATTTGTAAACGTTTCAGAGGTAATTAATAAACTCGTTCTTTCTTGATTATGAACATCATGTTGCTGTTCACGACACTCATTGTTCGCGTCACTTTAATTTCGCGATTTGTTTTGTATCGCAAAATTCGTGAAATTAACGTGTCGCGACAACTTCATGTAATAGTATGCATTCTGCATTTTGTACCTAGTCTGTAATTTGCACTCAGTCTGCAGTCTGCAATCTGCATTTATTACTGACCGTGCGCCGGTGGCATTTTATCTTGAATCGGTGTGTTTGTTCTATAGCTAAAGAGCGCTAAGCGCATGCAATCTAAGTACCGAGTGCCATTTCAGTAACTAGTCAAAAGCTAAAAAGAGTTCTCCTAGATGGACCTAGTGTTGCGTTAGCGCTTTAGCTTCAAGGTACAGAACGCCGTTTCCAAGCACGTTGCCGGAGTCAATGATACTTTCCTTGGGAGCTGTAGAATTAAAAAAAAAATTTATTCTTAGACTTTTCTACTCCGCAATGGTAAAGCGGTGTGTGATATGCCATATCAAACTGCTTTTTCGCAGTGAGACAAAAAATGCCGCCAAATTACTTAATTAGACTTTTGTTCTCCGCAACAGTGAAATGACTGACATGACAACCTCACCTTCTCCTAATCAGATGAATAATAATAATAATAATAATAATAATAAATATATCTACAAAATATTTTGATATATCACAAATAACCACTAAATTAGATTTATGTACTCCGCAATGGTGAAGTGAATTAAATGTCATATCGGAGTCAAACCTGTTCTACTGCGGGTAAAAATTCTATATTTACAAAATTCTGTGATGTGACACGTGAAAGACGTAGTGTCAATCAAAATTTAACCCTCTTGCTAGATTAACTTTTCTCAATTTAATAGGAGAGGATTAAGAGTGCATTTAATGAAGTTTTATTATGCACATGTCATCGGCTTGCCCCGGGGGTAAACCCTCGGGCCAACCAGGGGAATATGTCGGGGAATACAAGGGTATGGATTGGATGAACTGCCCCTGGGGAGAGGTTCTCAATGGGGGTGTAGCAAACACGGTACACGGTTAAAAATTTCGCGATTTCAAGATTAGCATACACGTATTACTGTTCAAAAATTCACAACAACAACAAATATTGTCCCCCCTTTCTAAAGAGTGGCATTGATAATCGAGGGCACTGACGATATTGACCCCTGAAATAATGAAAAAGCAAATCTAGTCAGTCTAATCAGGTTCCAGGCACAAAAAAGTAGTAGAAATGCAATTTTTATAAAAAAAAAAAAAACGTCTCCTGCAATGCATGTTGAAGGTCCCGAGAAAAACAGACAAGGAAAACAACAAAAACATTAGTGTATTTTGGCAAAGTGGTGCTAAACAGTAAAAACGAATGTCAGAATTAAGACAATGAATTATTTATTGTTCATGTTATTTTTTGAGCATCTGAGAGCTATTTGCTTTTTTTCATTGTTTCCATCATAGTTTAGCGGTCTCCCTCTACTAACTATGCTTGCATTCTTATGAGTTTTAACTATGGGCACAACGAAATATGTACTTACATTTCTAACGGTGATTAAACATCAAACTTTGCCCAGGCCTTGACTTGTCTTCCCGATCTTGTTATTACTGGCTTGTTTGTTCCATAATCAGGTTCGTCATCGGAAAACAAACTATCGTCTGAGTCCGTTTCATATTCCTCGCCGAAATCACAATCTGAGTTGGATACCTGAGTTGACTGAGTTGCGTGGACAACTTCGTTGGTACAATCATGAACAAAGCTGATTAAAGATACGCCCTTGGGCAAGGGTACATTCGGGGCTTCAGCATCTGTCTTATCTGGGAGATCTGCGCTTATTTCTTGATCACGTCTAAAGAATACTCTTGTTATAGAATCGGCTCGCTTTGTCTCAGATCGGACAGTTCTTTGCCTCACAGTGCGGAAGTTGTCAACCCATCCCCGCATTGCATCTTCCTCCCTATTGGGGAGCGTCTTGGATGGGAGTGGCGACATAAACTTGATGTCACCGAGCAACATTCCTGTTTGGAGAACTGGATAATAGGACGCTGGATGGGTGAAGTACTTTGCCGCCCATTTAGAAACTCGTTTAAGACATTCTTTTGCTATAGTGCCAAAGTCCATGGCGTACTGAAGAGTACTAAATGTCTCATTCTTAAAGTGTGACACTGCATGCAGATTTTCTACTTCAGTTGTTAACAATGTTTTGAAAACAACGTTGTACTTGAATTCTGGATTTACTTTTTCGAGATTTATCATAAGATTGGTCATACCTTTCAACAAAAGCTCAATTGAGGTCTGCGTTTTTTTGGAAACAGTTCCTTGAGGACCATTCGTCGACGCATCTTCCTTTAGTTGATTACTTTCCTTGACTTTGCGCACTGTAGATTGAACGTATTGGTGTACTTTACGTACATTCGACACCACCAATTCTGGAGTCATTTGCGCAGGAGTGCTTCCTTTACACGTAATTCCAAAACTGTCATAAATAAGCCCCAAATGATAAAGAAAGGACAAAGTTCTACTCATGCTAACTACTAGTTTTACTTTTCCTGCTGCTGCGTCTGTGACAAATATAGTGTTCTAAATACAGCAAATATCATGAGTTTGTATAAAACTACAACATCGTCCAGTACCATCATTCTGTGCATCACATCCGTCGCTAGCAAGATGTACAACTTCGTTGGTGTGCGGGTTAAATGACTTCACATCACCGTACGAGCCCCGATGTCTGTGAAGACTAGCAGCTCATTAAATTTGGGTACCCTCTTGATCTCCTTGCAACTTTGATCACCATTCTGGATAGCACATTCCATCAGGGTGGTTTCCATGCTAACAGAATATAAACCTCCTTGACATTTGTCGTTCTTTGATCCTGCAAACTATACGTTTGATTCCAAGATTGTCATGGATTCCACACTTTCGATATGTGTAGGGTAATTTGAAAGTGTTCTCATTGACTTGCACCTGATTGTTACACCATCTCTTTCGAGCGAAACTTGATGTATGACTCGTAGCCGATCATCGGCTACCAATAGCACATCATCGCTAGCCATACACAGGACCGAGGGTTTTGACAGTTGCACGTTGACAATGTGTACCACGTTCTTTCTCACTTTCGATTCTAACTTTCGCAAATGCACAGAGAGGCGCTCACGTAACATCGGAACAGTTCCATTTGTTGACAAATTGTATCTGAGAAGTGCTTACTCCAGGTCCGCACGCGAGCGTAATGAGCTAGGTTTAAGTTTAACGTTCCCCTCGAGGTCACAATATCTTACACATCCTCAAGTTTGTATTGCGGCAGGATAGATATGTCAAAGTTCTCAACTTTTCCATCGCACTTGCTTATACGGTACAGCTTCAATGTGTATTGGCCCAGACCCAAGGTTCGCATCTTATCCTTGAGGCCCAAAAAATCAGAAAGATGCTTTTCGAAAGCATTTAATGACTCCTTATGCTCGTCGCTTAACAGAATTCTGGACTAATATCTTTCGATTGGCTTTTCTTGCCCTTGACTAAAGACACTTACAATGGCTTTAATCACACTCATCGTCAAGACTTTCGACCGGGACGATCAGACAGACTCTAAAATCCACCAGCCATGTGCTTATCTTCAAAAATGACGTCATACACAATGTGCATTGTTATTTCGTGTTCTTTGGGATACCTGTGGTGACTTTGTCTATATATCGAATAAATGTTTTTTCTGTCTGAAAAACAAACTAAAAATACCAAGTAGACCACATACATCAAATAATTGTTCAGAGCTTAGGAAAAGCTACAAACAACACGGTTATCTGGACAAAAATAATTCACGAAACACGGTTAACTTTTTTCCCTTTTTCACGACACACGGTTAATTTTTTGGACGTTTCACGCCACACGCTTAACCCCATTGAGACCCTCTGGGGAGGGGAAAATTCACGACGTTGTTTTGAGTTCGAAGGGAAGAGGGTGGGGGAATTGCAAATTTTGTAAAATTGCGGATGGTAACCACGGGGATATCACGGTGATTTATCGCAAAAAAGGATTTTATAAAAGGAGAAGCATTACGTCTTTTAGAACTAAGGGCCTGTTTACATGGAGGTGGGGGACCCCAGGTAGGTGAAGTAGCCCGCTTAGGTGGGGTAACCCGCCCGTCTCTATAATCTCTTATTTTAATTTGATGACGTTTACATGATAGGTGGGGTGACCATATGAGAGATTGTATGGACAGCAGGGTTGCCCCACCTAAGCGGGTTACCTTACCTACCTGGGGTCACCTACCTCCATGTAATCAGCCCTTACTCAGTGAGAGAAAACGTTGAACAAAACAAACGAGACTTTGAACGAGGCTAACCTTTAACGCTCGTTCATGAAATACTGACTGTATCAAGTTCACCGACAGAAACGCTTCTCTTCGCAACAAAACAAAACAAACAAAATAGATTTTACTGTTTCTTACAACTACCTACAATACCTACAATCCGGCCACACCCAATCTCAAAAGGATTCTTATGAAACACTGGACATCGTTCAACAGCAACCTAAGCTTAAACATATCTTTAAGCGAGTCATCGATTGTCTCCTACAGGAAGGAAAAATCTCTCAAGAACATTCTAGTCCGCGCGAAAATTCCTTCAATCTCGCAACAATCACAAAATCAACGAAGCGGTTAAAAGCAAACTAGAACTTGGCAATTTGCATACGATCACCTTAACTGACTCCTAAAAACGGCAATCACGCATCCATTCGATTTCCCGTTCATTTGTTTTGCGGCAAAACAACCGTTAACCGGGTAAATATATTTTCGGATCTCTTAAACCTCTCACTGATCATTCTTATTACTAACGTAGAAGCTGAGGACTAGTAGACTTTATTACAAAATTCATACGTAAATGAAATACAATGAATAACTGTAATTTTTGAGCATCATGAGGTAGATTATTTCAGGTCATCTTAAGTAGTCTATGGAAAAACTATCAGTCTCTCCCAACCTCGGTGAATATGTCTTTAGGTGTTCTTTCATTGTAGTGATTTTTGTTCAATAAAGATATTATGTTTCTTCTCCAAGACTAACACGAAAGAGTAAAATTTCATCCCCAAATATCATAAAAACGCCCCCTAGGTCAAGTAAAACCCAGTTGTCTGAGGTGGATATCAGGGGGATTTTTCGTTCAGAGGCACTTGACCCAGGGGACTTTGTCTTATTAAATTTCCTCACCCCTGGGGGAAATCCTCAACTTAATTTGCTCCACCCATTTTACAATCCCCCCGGTTGGCCCGGGGGTCTACCCGCGAGGCAAGCCGATGACGTGCATTGGGAAGCTTAAAGCAGTCAGGAGGACGATGGAAGTAAAAAACTTCACTAAATACGCCGAATTTGTGTCCTCTCAAATTTTATCTTGTTTATTTAGCATCCCGTAAATAAAATGCTGCTATCTTCAGAAATAAAGACCTAGGATGAAAAAATTTGTCGTCGTGCTTTCACGTCGTCCTCCATAAAAAAATCGCTTGAAAAAAAGTGCTAAAAAGTATGATGCACGTGCAGAGTTGTTCCTTCTTTACACATAAAACAAATAATTTTCCTAAGTGACTAAAATCCAAGTAGAAATCCTCCCCTAAACCTCCCTCCAAAGAGGTTTCCAGCGCGAAGGGAACGTCGAGAAGGGAGAAGAAAAATCTCCTCTATGCGCTCATTATTGAGGTAACTGATGCATTTCATAAGTTGTCACGTGACTGTGAGAGTCTCCAGAGGCCTGGGTGGTGGTTTGATGAAACCCATTACGTTACTTGTTAGCCTCTTCTTCCTACACTTTGCAGCACACGTCTCGTAAACGAAACCCGCGGTCAACAGCATGATAAAGGTTGCCAACATTGCGGAAAGTGCAATCCAAACTCCGGGGGAGTTTCCATCCAGTAAAGTCAAAAGACGGTCTGCGTCTTTGTCTGATATCTGGCGGCTCCTGGTTTCGGTCTAAAAGGAAGTTCAGATGGTAACGTACGTGTATTAAAGTGAAAAGCAATCTGTTTAATTTCTTTCTCTTAAACTTAAGTTACTACTCGCAAGTCGTAAAGCTTCGAAACCCCGTATTTTGAACGAATTCAGTGGATGCAAAGACGGCTGTCCGTGTGATAGTGTGTTTCCGCAGCCTCCTCTTTTCCACCCTCACCCCAGGCCTTTTATTTTGCTTCTATTTGCCTTGAACATGACCAACACAAAAGTATGACAGTTATCACGTATTAAGGGAGGTGGATACCACCCCTTATGGCCCTAAACAATTAAAACGACTTTAAGCTAAAAGATCTACTCTTCAGTATCTGCATACAGGAGCAAATTACTCCTGCTCTTCTTCTTCTTCTTCTTCTTCTTCTTCTTCTTCTCCTCCTTCTTCTTTTTATTATTATTATTATTATTATTATTATCATCATCGTTATTATTAATTTCCTGCGACTCATTTTGGCAAAATTAATTACAGCCTACAGGAGCAAGCAGTCTGTTGCTATGGTTACAAGATATGACGTCATGTGTCGCATGAGGTCAAGCCACTGTTATAAGTAAACATGTAAATTTTCTCGTTTTTTGTAAGCATCACTATCAAATCCGCAATTTCAAGAAGTTTAATTTAAAATTTACCAAATCAGTGGATGGTAATTTTCTCGCGTTTTAATTGGCTCCCGTAACCCGGAATATACGTGGCTATTTACTGCTTTCGGACGGCAGGCAATTTGTCGCCCCGTTTTACGACAGTTTGGGAAGACGATTTGTTAGCTGCAAATGAGGCAGCTGTACCAACAAATACAAAGTCAGAATGAGAATATGAATGCCCAAAACTGTTTAATCTATCTTGTCAAGATTTTAATCGACAAATTTTGCCGTAACACCTCAAATCAGGAATCAGCAAGGCCGGGAAATTGCTGTTCCTTCTAGCTAGCCACTAATAAGTTGCAGAGTTTACGAAAGAATTCCTCGTAAACACTACAGGCAAATGTCTCAAAGTAGCCCACTTATTTTAATCAAGGTTAATAAATCAACTTACATGCAATGCTTGGGTATGTCGAAAAATAATTTTCTTGATGTCTCGCTGTCGATATTTAAACAGATTCCTTAGGCAATTAGTTTGTTTCTCAAATTCTTCTTTTTTAAGTGCAAATCCAATTGACCGCTGAGAACTAAAGAACATGGTCACTGCTAAGCGAGAGTCTTCGACTTTATCCATGTAGTAAGAGGCTGTGTAGATGTCCGCTAAGATTCCCTCTACTTCTTCTTTTACGACGAGTGCATAGTACATTTCGTGGAAGTTGGGATAATCTGCAACACAGGAAATAAGCATTCGTCAGTTTAAGTCCGTCTGTGTCACGAAAGACAGTGACAGCTGCCACCAAACTGACTGAAACCCACAGAGAAAAGAAGGTACAAATTACACAGCGAATACAAAAGGAGACACGAATGGACAAACTTGAAGAAGATTGACACGAATTGCAATAGAAAGGGGAAGTGAGACGTAACGTTGCCGTGGTGGCAAAATTTCTAGATCACAACAATGGGGAGCTTAAGCAATGACGACGGCCACGGCAACGAGAACGACAAAGAAGCAACCGGTTTAGATTAGCAAAACAACAACGTTATACGTGCACCACGCTTTTTTGTACATTCTTGGCCGTCGTTGCACGACTGCGACAGGAAACTTTCTAATTTTACGCGCACGCTTTATGGAGTTGGTGAACACAGCGCAAAATTTTCTTTTTTCATTTTCCACCAGATACGGTCCTTTTAGATTCAACCCCAGACCAGAATATCGCAAACATTTGACAAATTAAATCAAATTGAATGAGATCGATGAAGTTTGAAACAGTCCGAATTCTAATTTTAAGTGATGTTTTCGGTTTGTTATCATTCAGGAGTTTTGCTACCATGGCAACGCGCGCGCTTAAAGCCTTCTCTCTATTGAGGTTGTTTGAAACTTGTTAGTAGCCTTACAGTTTTTCAAAGTTCACTTTTGTCATCTGTAACCTTTGATATAATATTTTGTTTGATACGAAGCTGTAATTTGGCCATTCACAAGTAATTTCTCACAGCGAAGAAGGAACTGGCGTCATTAGCGTTATCAAAAAAAAATGACTTAGACAACCATGTCACAGGCTCTTGAAGTCGCGTTCTAAAGAAAAATGCCATAAATGTGCTGTAAATCCCTCTCCACTTGAAAGCGTTCTTTCGAGTAAAAACGGTAAGATACGATGTGGCTTAAGCGTTAGACTGGCGTAATACTAAGTTCGCAAACAAGGCGCAACAGCCGACATCACTGTAAACGTTCGAGTGCTGGAACTGACGCCAAAAATGTCAATACCTTTTTATTGAGACAAGAGCCATAATGGTTCTTGATTCAGACGAATACTTTAATCAAGCGTGGTTTTATTTTTATCTGAAGTAACTAAATAGCTTCGAGAGAAGCCGAAGCCACTCCTTGACTGAATAGAACACCCACGTATTCGTTATCTACCACATCTGAAAATAGTGCAAATAGAACTTTCACCACCGCATTGAACCGTTAGGGTAGACAAAGCTTACTTAGGAAGCCAAGTGAAAAGGAATGCTGCTAAGTATATTAAAAGGGTGAAAAGGATAAGGTATGCGGCAAAAATGGAAGCGACGAATAGGTATACCCCTTTTCATCCTAGGCTGAGTAATGTGAGATGACTTTCACTTTACCTTAGTACTGCATCATGGACAAAATCTATGGTGTTACCATTCAAATGAAACCTCCGACGACAAGAACTTTTGCGTTTTGCAAAATGATAATTGATTGTTTTCCAAACCCTCTTATTTGGACTGATTACTTTGTAAGAATGAGAGGTTAAAACGACTTGATGATTACCTTTTCATCCACGCCCCGATATAGCAACGTCTCTACTAAGACGACTTCAAACGGGGTCTTCAAAACGTACCTTTGACGTTGGCAGCCTGCTTCAAAGCCTCGTCGTAAGCATGGCTGTCTTCCAAAACTGCAACCTGGGTGAACTTCAAAAGTTAGCTTAGTATCTTAACATTACTGAACTCAGGTAAGACTAGTGAGATATAGGGGATGCTAAGGGATCTGCACTAGACAGCTTCCCGGATGATTAACAGTTCTATTATTTCTGAAAGAGGTTTTAAACTTTGAGATAATGATAATTTACGCGCATTCACTCTAGTAAATTTATTTGTTGTTTTGTTGACATCAATGAACCCTCCTGAGATATATTCGTTGCCGCAAGGGTGTGAGAGTTGTGCAGTTCGTCGTATGTAAATAAAGAAGAATAACCTTTTATCTGTTTAGGAATGAAGAAGTTAATCAGTTTCCGCGACATTGTGTGGAGGTTAAGGCACTGTCAATCCACTGAGTTAACACGAACGTCATGGCTTCGAATTGAATCCTGTTTAATCAGTTGAACTTGATTTTTTCAGTCTCAGCCTTTTGGGAATTTCGAGTCTAATTACATATGCATTCCACGACTGCAGATATTATTTCCTTGTTTAATCTAACTTGCTCCGCTAACTATTAACCTAACAGCGTTTGGCATTTTCTGGTGCGGAGAGAAATGATGATGAAGATGATGATGGTTCTAACCTTCACTCCCAGCAGAGATTTACGATGTAGCATGGATGATGACGTCAAGGCACTTGTGAAAGTAGCGGTGAAAAACGAGCAAAGAATAAGGCCAGTAATAATCCACAGGATGCCAAACAAACGTGCAGGCGCTGACTTTGGAGTCCTGTCACCATACCTAATATCCAGAGAAAGAACTCTCATAGATCAAAAGTTAAATATACCAGTTTTAATAAATATTTCCAAACGTCTCACGAAGAATGGATCTCTATCGTAACTAAAAACTGAAAATAAATAACCGGGTACACTTATTCCCTCTATAAAGTTCCGTGAAAAGTGAAAAAAATATATCAGCTAAAACCTGATTACTGTTAAGCTTTTTATCGTTGTTGGCACTTTTCACCTTCGCTTTTCGTATTTAGTTCAGGTTCCTTCGGTTTATCATTCCTAAGGAAAAGAATGGACTATTCATAGTCTATACTTAAAATAATCAAATTTAAAGCATTTGAGTTTCGGCATACCTGAATATTAAGATTGCAAACTATTAAGCTGGATTTATAGTACACAGGCTGGTCATTTCTTCATTTCTTTTAGCGAGAGTCGAGAACCTACACGACTTAAATGAAGCAGGCATGATGCTTAACTATTCTTACCCAACTGTAGTCATGCTCACAAAGGACCACCAAATTCCCTCCATCACGCCTCTTGTGAAAGAGGGTGGAAAGTGATCAGAATTTTTAGATTTGTCCTATAATTTAAAGTAACAAAAAAAAATAGTTGCAAATGAAGCAAAATGAAATTTATCAGGATTACTTTATTGAGCAGTTTCTCGACTACATGGTGTCAGAAGTTCCAGAAAGGAATATATATATACTGTATATCCTCAAGAGGGAATAATGGGACGAAGAGGGAATTGCCCAGTGGAGCCCTTGGGATGTGTGAACTTCATCAAAGTTATTTTTAGACCAATCAAACGCTTGAAATTAATCTAAGGTTGGTTTACGGAGAGGTCCGCAAACTTTTATCAATTGAAACTTTTATTGGTGGCAATATTTATTTTCTTTGTTTAGTCATACAGATTAGTTGCTTACTCCAAACATCTCTACGATTTTTAATTGCTTTGTAAAACGTAGAATGCCTTGACTTGAAATCAAATATCTTGTATGACTTTTTGCGTGATTTTACTTTACTATATGTATATACTACTATATGTATGTTAATACTTGTTGTGGCAATAAAAAAGTTATTTAAAAAAAAACTTTTATCCAGTATTGTCAAGAGAGAATTATGGGACATTACGCTCTCTTGGTTTGTCGCAATTTCAATATTCTACATTGTTTGCTTTGAGGCAGTCGCGCGTGGACGTTTTAATGTGAGGGCGTCCTAGGACTTTCGTTAAATTACAACCTCTAAAAATAACGTAAGTGAAATTCACATATTCAGGCCAACACCTTAACATTTCCTCTTTGTCACTTTATTGTCTCTTGTTATCCTTTAGTGGCGTCGTCCTGCCTGTGCCAGTAAATCTGACATTTAGCAATCCTAGGAGTCCTCGTTATTTGACAAGAAGTGCCCCGTTTTGTCTCAGTGCTTTCTCATTTCGACAAATATACATCTAGAAGGATTTTTGAAAACGAACCTGGCGAAATTTGCAGCCATTATTGGCTACTGCTTGACCGAAGAGGTCTATTTGGCGCTTACCTTCTCAAAAATCCTGTTAGAGATACAATGTATGTTCTTGCACATATGTTTTCCATGAACAAAATACCGTTTTTTTAAGATGGGTGATTTTTTTTTGAGGGTACGAGGTCTACGAGCAATATCAGTCTGAAGACTGATATATGACAAAGGGAAGTATTGAAGAGGAGGGAGGAGAGCACCAAGAATTATTTGAAATTTAAAAAGAAATATTGAAAACGTAAAGCAGTTAGTGTTGTAAAAAGGTCATTCAAACAGAATTTAAAACATTGTAATTTTTAGATGATTTTTTGACACGCAGGAAAATATGCGATCAGAACTTTCAGTGCATGTACGTTCACTATAATAACGTATTAATTGAACAGGTAAATGGGAAATATGCGTTAAAAAAGGGGACGGAACTAAACCGAATCAAGTGGCACCGACAAGTCTACACCTTTCCCTTTTCAAACGCTCGAAAAAAGTTTTTGACCCGAAGGTTAAGCAAAAAGAATAGGACGCCACGATATTGGTCACGTATTAGTGTTCAGTTCAGTAAAAATAGCAATAATTTACGTTACTGCTCAGTTTTCGTATATCTCTCTTAGTTTGTCAATACAAAGGGCTTAAAAAACAGAACTCTTCGTTGAAGTTGCCCCTGGCTAGCTACTGTTGACATTTGTGGTTTCGTTCTTAAGTATGACTGATAATAGCGGCTAAATCATAAGATCGACCCAACTTTAAAGGAGGCTCTTTAAGGCCCATTATAATCGATTTATTTCCAGTCAAGAAGTCGGCGAACTGAAGCTTAGTCTATATCCAGAATTATTTATTCAACCCCTGTAAATGATTTCTTCTTAATGTCTGTCGCCTTAGTTTTTGGGCTCCACGAAAATAATTATTATAACTGTTGATCCATCGGCGAAAAAAATATATAATAATAATTTCAATCGGTTACGGCGCGAAAGAGGTGTGGGTGTGTAGTAATTTTTTTTCCCCAACTATTCATTTGCAAATTTAATAAATGTCTTTATTATTCAGTCAAAATATTTCTCGGTTTCTGATTGGCTAAAAGCACACGCATAATTCACCTTATTATTCATTCAATGTATTTCCCCAATTCTGATTGGCTAAAAGCACACGCATAATTCACCATAACCAGTTACTGATGACCAAATTTGGAAGAGTTTTGTGTTTAACGAGGAAATGACGTCAAAAATGCAGCCTTCTACAGCTTAAGGCACCGTTAACCGAGAAGACCTGGGGACGAGATTGAGTTGTTTTTGTTGTAAAAACTAAAATGGCGGACACTTCACTCGTTTCAAGAGTAAGAACTACAGCTGGAACTAGGCGAAATAATGGCTAAAAACATGGCAAAAACAGCAAGAAGACAACTAGGAGGGCGACATCTGCTATTTGGAGAATATTTGCGGAGCTGGACAAACCTAAACGTAAACTATCGAAGGTAAACTTAACATCGATGCAGGTAAGCTTGTTTTAGCTATGTTTTTAAACTAGGAATTATTTTGAATGATTAATGAAACAATTATTGAATTCGGCTTTCGTATCATATCTCGGAGGGTGTTATCCGCCTCGGCCAAAACACCCTCCTCGATCTCCATAATTCTTCATAAGATACTCAGCCTCATTCAGATTAATTGTTAAATAACCAGGTACTGTTGACCAAATTTGAAAGAATTTCCTTGCGATTAATCAACCGATGACGTAAAAGTGCAGCACAGTTGCAGGTTAATGCACCGTTAGCCGAGAACACCTGGGGACGAGGTTCAGTTGTTTTGTTGGTCGAAACAAAAATGACGGAACAGTTTACTCGTTGTACGACGACCTATTGTCTAAAAACACAGCTAGAAGACAACTCGACTGACAACACCTGGAGTATATTCGCAGACCTGAACAGCCCTTTATCTTTATGAAACATGCACTAAATTTTTTTCTGTTCTCGATATTTTACTATAATATTATGGCCTCTGAGTCAATAGCCCATTCGTCCTTCGGCCTCATGGGCTATTGACCCAGAGCCCATTCGGGCTCGAGGAATAATTGTTAATTAGCCAAGTTTTCGGGCCGTGCTGTAATAAGATGTTTATTATATGGCTTCTTCTAGTTTGGGGGACCAGAAACAAGTGTAGGACGCGCGATTCGACAGTCATTTGTCAGGCGCCAAAAAAGAAAGTTTTTATTGGCTCACGAAAACAATAGCACATGACAAAGGGTTTCCGAGAAAATGAAAACAAATTCGCCATTTTGAAAAAGTTTTTTTCGGTCAAAACTAAGAGCACTGTAAGTTTTAGCTCTTTTTAGCTCTGGAGCCTTTTGGAAACCGGACACTGTGTCTGTCAGGAAGTCGTTTCCATCTTTCCTCCGTTGGTCCTTGCAAAGAAAACACTGCAAAAAGGAAAGAAGGTTTTCAAGGTAAGTTTGTTGTCATTGTCGAAGGATTCGCTCGTTAATTTTTTGGGGGAAAACCTCTGCCAGTTCATTCTCGTCTTCAATTGTGATCTGCCTTAAAATTTTCAAACACTGACTTGAATTCTCTTCCTCGGTAAGGTTACAATTTCTAAATCAGCTTCGTTCTCATTAAAACAAAGCTAGGTAAAAATTTGGAAAGGCAAAGTCAACATCCCAGTCCTCAGTGTTTACAGACATATTTTAAAGTTTATTCGGTCAAAACTAAGAGCACTGTAGGTATTCACTCGCCAATGTGACGCTGGAGTCTTTTCAAAACTCGACATTTTGTCTGGCTCGAAGTCGCTTCTATATTTCTTTCGTCGGTTTCTGGAAAAACACTGCAAATGTCAAAGAAGCTCGTCAAGATGTTGGGTGCAGGCATGTTTGTTATCATATTTGTCGAAGAAAAATATGATAAGAACAACTCAAATCTCTGCTAGTCGACTTTCGCCTTTTTAACTGTATACTACGATAAAATTTTCAAACACTGACTAGAATCCTCTTCGATAAGGTTAAGAGTTAGTTCCTTAATCGCGTTCGTTCACAAATAAACACAGTTTAAAATGTTGAAGGACAAAGTCAACATCCAAGTCCTTAAGGTTGACAGACGTCATATAACTTTATTTGAAGCTTTTTTTCGAGGTAAAGAGATTAAGATCTCCGAAATGAGCATTTTCTTTGAAGTTTTGGTCCGTATAGCAAGTTACGGACCTCAAATTGACCAATCGCATGGCGAAAACAAATTCAGCCATATAATAAATCTTCATATCCTACGAAAGCCGAATTCATTAATTGCTAAATACAGAATAGCCGATTTTGACAGTCATCCAGCCGCTATCACAAAACGCAGGTGTCCAACGATAAAAGGCTTCCGAGTATAAACACAACAAATTAACATATTTACCTTCCGTTTTATTTAAGTAAGCAAAATTTCTCTTAAGTTATTGAATATATACACACTTACCAGTCCCCAGATTAAAATCCCAGCAAATCCTGCCAAAAGTAGGGTTAAAATAATAACAGGCCAGGTATCTTTCATGGCTTGTAAGACGCGCTTTCGTAAATGTTTTAATGTTTGCTGTTTGTCCACTATGAAAACAACACCTGGCGATTTCAAGACCTCCACGTACGTATGCCCTCCGTAAGAACCATCTTCGCTTCCTTGAACGAGAAGCGCCAGATCAGCTTCCTTTTTTACAATGGTTTCATCAAGCTGTCGTAAATTATCAGCTTTTTCCGCGAAGTTGACTTCAGTAAGAGGTATGTCTGTGCATATCTGAAGTCCTTTATATACAATTTCCTGAAAGATACCTTTCACTCTGAATCCAGGCGAGGAGCCCTGCACGCTTTCTTGGCTTATACCACTGTTATTATTCGTTTCGTTCATCGCTTCTCCTGGCTTTGACGAGGCCAATCTTGTTCTGTTTTCGCTCGTTTCTAATGGCTCTTCGTCAAACATTACATAAGGCGGTTTTTCCATCCAAGAGATAACTACTGATGCCGGTGGTTTCGGTCTAAAATTTCTTGAAATCGTCTCATCAGGATGAGGTGGGATTGATGGAGTACTGTTAGTTTGAATTTTTTCCAAAAAACTCACATCAAGGAAGTCTATCTGGGACTCTGCCGAAAAGGCAATGGATGGCACTAACAAGAAAACTACCAACCGTGTTTTTATCCACATTGTGTTTTTCTTCTTAGTTACTGCGTTGACCTTAAAACTTGCTGATACTTCAAAGACTACTTGCAGTCAGTTTGTAGGCTCGTTGCGGAAAAAACGTAGAAAGAAATAATTGAAATGGGCGGTTCCTGATAAAAGCGCATGTTCAAAGCAACGCAAGTGTCATATTTCCCTGATTTCATCCTGACTGAATTTCTAGCTTTCAAAATGTGATATGCCTCTGTTGCAAGATTTTTGACAAAAAACAAACCAGCCATTGTCTCGATATTTATGCTGGTCTGCTGCTTTACCAGTCGAACAGAAAAGATGTTAATTTTGGCCCCGTTTGAGCTAAAAAACAATAATAAAAGACAGCTCAGAAAATTAACATGTTCATAGTCCAGGGTTAATTCTTACTCAAAGAAACCAATTTTGTGAGTTGCTTCGGGAATAATAAAACCGCGTTGTTAACCTAAACACAAGCAGGGTCTTCAATAACTTCACCTCAGAATATTATTTTCGCAGCTAAGTAATTCTGAGCGATACTGTCCATTAATACGTTGTATGATTTTAAGAAACGTGTTCTTTTTGAGACTTTTTTTCTTGTACGAAAATTGATACTATACGAAAAGATCTTGCAACGAAATTTAGTTCAAAATTGCTCATGGTGCCTAAGAACGAGCTTAACTATTTATCTGCAAATTGAATATTAAATAGTAGCTTAGATGCTAAACAGATCTTTTGTCAGTTTTATTAAAAAGCACAGGTGTTCACGATGAAGGGTTTTCGGAAAGCTATATTCCACCTCTGTTTCACCATCATAAATTAACGTTTACCTTTTAAGTTTGCCATTAAAATGAACAAATTTTCTGAAGTTTTCTTGAGTTTAGAAAATGAAAAATTCCGAGAATGAGACACCGATCATGGTTCTTCTAGGATAATTTTTGTTGCTTCTAAAGGAGATACAAAAGTGTCATGTTAATTTGTTGAGCAGCCAGTTTGCAACAACGTCAACTTGATGGCGGTGAAATGTCCTGAAATATCCAAAATGCTCTAGGCATGATTGATATACATATCATTACAAGATTTGTCCTATATGCGATCACCAGATCCCTATAGATGGTTTTCACAGTGACGTCATCAAATTGTAAAGTCAAAGCGAGGTTTTACGAATTCTTATTCATTCAAGGTTGAAGATAAACAAAAAATAAATCAACAGTAGGTTGAGTTTGATTGTCCGGGTGAACGTAGACCTGAATAGGACTGTTGTTGTTGACAGTAACTGATGTTTCGACAACCTGTGCGGTAGTCATCTTCAGAGTCAAAGTGAGTTGTATCACGTCAGTCGATGGTATTATACTCTGGTTATTGATCTAATTGGTCAAAGACGTCGCGATATTATTGGTCGTCTGTCGTGGTGTTATTTTCGAGTATTAGGAGATGGGCACGTATGCTAGTTCTTGAGTGAAAAGAAATAGCTTTTATAGAAAATGTTTATAGAAGATGTTTTTGTTAATTTCCGGCGGCCATATTAATGCACCAAAACGGTATACCAATATGGCGTCTCCTTACAAAGCTCTACAAAGGTGCGTGAAACGTTTCGGCAAATAACTGAGAAACTGTGGGCCACAAAGGCCTGAGAAAAATTGTTTATATATTACTCTTTTATAACATTTCATTTTCTTGGCCCTTTCCACAGGGCGGATTCCAATTTATATTTTTTGTTGCGTGACAGTGAAAACGATCTATAAACATAAAATACGCAATAGAGGGTTTCATTCGATGTAAAGATTGTGAAGCGATCACGAAAAACGTGATATTCAAGTTGAGAACTTTACAAAATGAGAAATGAGCAGATAAAAACAGCTTATATTGTAGTTATAATAAACAGTTAACCATAAGTAACTGTCACGCGGGACAAATTCACGTTTGCCGTTTGCCGCAAACGCGATGCTTAATCTCTCCAATCTCCTACTCAACACGAAGAACAAGATGATGATTAATTTCCCTCCTTTCAAATCGCTGTGTATTTTAATCTTTTTGTAATTGTTTTAGTAGTTGTATCTCGAGTCTGGTTTTATTGCCGGCATTTACTAGTCGCGTCTTTCAATTGATCCCTCATAAGTTATTCATTGTTTTGGGTTTTTGAAATAAGAAGTCAATACTGTCCCTTGGGTTTAACTATAGAACCAATTTGCATGCAAATGTCGGCACCGTTCCTTAATTCGAATAATTAACTGACTTAAACGGAGCGTGAAACAAGCGAATCCTGACAACTAATTAAGTTTCCTAGCAAAGCCATTGCAAGAAAGATAGCGCACTCAACAGGGGTCTTTTTTGCATGAGCATGCGCGACCGCTGAACAAGCGATGTGCATGGAGGCTCACCACAGGGTTTGCCTTCATCAAAATGGCGCGTCTCAAAGCTATCATAGCGATTATTTTGCTCGTTGGTCTTGGCGAATGTGCTCGTGATTTAACAAAATGTGTAGTTTGCAAAAAAAAAACTCTTACATGGTCTTAACAAAAGCGAAGTAGACCGGCTTTAACATACACGAGCTACTATCAAATTTCATCTCCCCACTTGACTTGGACAACAGCGCGCGTATAT